TGGACCACTTTTCAACTCATGTAACTGCATCTTGGACTTGACTATTTGTTTCAAGCTGGGCAACTTCTCATATGGTTGTGTCGTCAACGAATTTCCAGCTACTAACATCTTGGATATTTAGGTCATTAATCATAAGCAGGAACAGCCACGGTCCTAATTTGGTGCCTTGCGGGACTCCTGAGGGTACATCTCCCCATTCGGAAAAGCAGTCATGTGAACGTTTGACACGTTGTTTACGGTTCGTTAAGAAATCAGCTACCCAGCGTGCGATGCTCCTGGGAATATTTAGGCTAAGGATCTTTTGTACCAGAATTTGGTGGTCAATTAGGTCAAACGCCTTTTTGTATTCAAATAAGACCACTCTAACTGCGGCTTCTGTACTGTCCATGGCTTGGGCCCAATGATGGATCATAGAGATAAGGGCGTATGCTGTCGAGGACTTCGGTATGGCTCCAAACTGGCTAGGGTCGATGATCTCGAGAACAGCTGGCGCAACGTACAATTTCACAACAAACTCCTCTGCAACTTTAGAAATAGTTGGTGTCAGGGAGATGGATCTAAGGTGGTATTGACATCTTCGACGGGGCTTTGTTTTGGTACTGGGTTAACATCAGCTAGTTTCCAGGAAGAAGGAAGACCTTGATTAGCAAAGGAACAGTTTATGACGTGGCAAATGTACGGTGGCCCGTTAGCGACACGCTTGTTCCGTAGAAAATCACATTCGTTCTGTCTACTTGAAGTAGTTTTCCTTAATAACAGAGCGTTTCTGTATAAATGTGCGGCGTTTCCGTAGAAAATTCAGACGACTTCCGCAGAAATATAGACGCTTTCCGTACAAATGTAGACTTCTTCCGTACAAATGTAGATGCCTTCCATGGAAATGTTATACATGCCTTCCATACAAATGTAGACGCCTTCCGTAGAAATGTTATGCATGCCTTCCATACAAATGTAGACGCCTTCCGTAGAAATGTTATGCATGCCTTCCATACAAATGTAGACGCCTTCCGTAGAAATTTTATGCATGCCTTTCATACAAATGTAGACGCCTTCCGTAGAAATCTAAAACTAATGCGCGCGCATAGTCTGGTAACTATGGTAACTTCAGTTGCTATATTATGCAAAATGGCGGCATGTAAACAGTGTACGCACGAATTTGCTCTTCCAAAATGCAATTTTTGTCCCAATGGCGGTCATAAAGCAACAAGTAAGATAGCACAAGCAATTGTAGTATATGACAAATGTTTGGTGTGATGTAAATGGACGCTTTACGGAAATCAAAACTCCACATGGGATACTATATAAAATCTATACTATGGCGCTGTCACAGTGATTTCGGTTCCCTCGTGAAATCTGTTCCCCCTAGCTCGTATAAAATTCCTCTATTATAACCGGAACTAATGCCTATCACAGTACAGGCAGGCGGCAGAATTTCCCTTGATGTCCAACATGGCGACCGTCTGGGGAGTGATCGGTCGAAAATGAATCTGAATATTTGACATATAAAATCATTATTATGAATTTGTTTGCTGAAAATTTTCAAAAATTAGGAAATTGAATTAGTCAGTTTTGTTCCTTATGGTAATTTTTGTCTTTATACCTGGAAATACACCTCATTTTACAGACACGAAATCGACATCAAGATCCATGTTAATACTGTATTTATAATAGTATACTAGTTTCAATCAGTTTTGTTTCAATTGATACGAAATACTTATGTAAAGTCTAAAATCTATATCAATGTTTAGTTAGATACTTAGATTTTCATTAATGATCGCAAATTTGGACAAAACGTCAAAAGCCCCGCGCAGCCGCGTTTAATAATTTTATCAAAACCACAGAACGTACTATAAAAAATTCTGCCGGTACTGCGATAGGCATTAAGTTCCGGTTATAATAGAGGAATTTTATCCGAGGGGGAACAGATTTAACGAGGGAACCGAAATCACTGTGACAGCGCTTGTGATGTTACTCTGAGTGTATATCCACACCGGGCAAGCTTGAAAAATATGCCTGACCACGGTGGAAAATGGAAATCGAACCTACGACCTTTGGAATACTAGCCCAATACTCTGCCAACTGAGCTACGCGACCCGGATTCTAGTTCCTTCGATATCAATGTAATCTAATAGCATGATTTTTCTGTGTTGGTGTAATTGTACTCAGGTGAATATGTGATATAATACTCAAATAAATGATGCTTGTGATGTTACATATTTTCAAGCTTGCCCGGTGTGTGGATATACACTCAGAGTAATGTCTGTTATTGTTTTTTACACTTGTATCCTAAATGTTTTGGAATCCGTTATTGGAGATCGAACTAATAATCTCTGTGTGGTAATTCCAGCCATGTAACCTATTTTGTAATTAATTTTATGTAATATAGTGTATTTTTGTATTCAATGGCAAAATCTGTAAAATAAAATAAATAAATTTAAAAAAAAAATAACATCACAAGCATAGTATAGATTTATAGTATCCCATGTGGAGTTTTGATTTTCGTGACTAAAAACAACATAGCGTCCATTTACATCACACCAAACATTTGTCATATACTACAATTGCTTGTACGATCTTACTTGTTGCTTTATGACCGCCATTGGGACAAAAATTGCAATTTGGAAGAGCAAATTCGTGCGTACACTGTTTACATGCCGCCATTTTGCATAATATAGCAACTGAAGTTACCATAGTTACCGGACTATGCGCGCGCATTAGTTTTAGATTTCTACGGAAGGCGTCTACATTTGTATGAAAGGCATGCATAAAATTTCTACGGAAGGCGTCTACATTTGTATGGAAGGCATGCATAACATTTCCACGGAAGGCGTCTACATTTGTATGGAAGGCATGCATAATATTTCTACGGAAGGCGTCTACATTTGTATGGAAGGCATGTATAACATTTCCATGGAAGGCATCTACATTTGTACGGAAGAAGTCTACATTTGTACGGAAAGCGTCTATATTTCTGCGGAAGTCGTCTGAATTTTCTACGGAAGCGCCGCACATTTATACAGAAACGCTCTGTTATTAAGGAAAACTACTTCAAGTAGACAGAACGAATATGATTTTCTACGGAACAAGCGTGTCCCTAACGGGCCACCGTACAAATGGGATCGGAAAGTATCATGACATATTCTTTAAGAATCCAGTTTGGGATGCCGTCAGGTCCGGGTGCTTTGTGTGGTAAATTCCGCAATACAGATGAGACAGCATCGACCGAGATTTGGGGCAGTTCAGAGTTTGATAAGTCAATGCTTTGATATGTTTGCATCGGTTCTAAGAAAGCCGAATTAACCATGGCGGCAATTTCGTGCGGAGAAAGAGAATCAATACCTGAAATTTGCAGTTGAGAACATAGAGACTCAGAGTCACAAGGTGTCGCCATTCCAGCAATACGTTTAACGGCGTTCCACCACTGGCTTGGTTTTGTTTGCTTAAGATGCTGGATCTTAGAAGCGAAGTACCTGCTTTGGAGGGTTTTCCTTTTTCGATTGACAAGGTTTCGGTAATGACGATAGTTTTCCATTTCCCCGTTTAAAAAGGCTTGCTGGCGAGATTTGATTAGTTCTTTAGAGTCAGAGGTAACCCATGGGTGATCATTTACATGAAGTTTTATTTGCTTAATTTAGAGGCATGATTGTGTCAACGCCAACGGTAATTAAATCAACAAGAAGTTGTAACTTGACTTCACAGCTTTCAACATCTTCAAGGAACGGCCAATGGATGGAACTTAGGTACCTACGGAGTTCGTGTTTTCTACTTGGGCGGGTGTCGCGTCTCAGCAGGGTTTTCCTGCTAGAATTGGAGTTAGGGTACCGCACTTTGGGACGACGAAGGACACCATTGTGGTCCCAGAGACCGAAAGGAGGGATGGAATGAACATAATTCATGTGATCATAAATCTGGCACATGTTGGTGATTATGAGGTCCAAGATGTTGTTACCTCTGGTAGGGGTGTGGACTAGTTGTTTCATTTTAAATTGGGTTAAGAGGCGGCGAATCTTCAGTTGGTTAAAATCGCCAGCCAGGAGAATGCCACATCCAGGGTAGAGGCTTTCTACAGAGATGAGTGTTGTTGTTAAGGAACGTAACATGACTTTGTCGTCAGAACTAAGTGGGTGATATATGATACCCACGATAATACAAGGAGTACCACGAGGCAAATCTTGTTGGCCTAATATGAGACCGTAGCACCTCCATTTCAGGTTCTTCCAATTCAGGTAACCGTTTACAAGGAATTGTGGACCTGACGTATAGACATACGCCCCCGTGTGATTGGGAGACACGGTTTTTAAAGATAAAATTATATCCAGGGACAAGGAGATAATCGTTGATAATTGAATCGTGTAGCCATGTTTCGGTGAAGCAGGCCAGATCACGATTCTCCTATTGGATAACAACAACGAACTTCGTCAATTTTAGGTAAAAGAGACATGGTATTCGCAAGCAATACGCTAGGACCGAAGTCATATTTCGTTGTGCAAGTACCTATTAAAGGCAACAATTTGACATTCGTGAGATTTGCAGTGTTCGCTTGCTTAGTACTATGTTGAAGTTTGGTAACATTTCTGTTGGTGATTCTCACAGGAATGGGACAACTTAGTGCTGTAGATGGTCGGTTGAATTCCAAATATATGGACTCATTATTTAAGCGATTGGTAGTAGTGCCAAAAGGGTTAGGGTTTGAATGAGTGTTAGAGGTATACAGGGAATAGGTCTCACAATTCAATGAACGGGAGGTTTTGTCATTATTGACATGAGTTGTGGGGGATTTGTCTGTGGGGACGTATGTGGAGGTGTATACGGGTACGGAAACGGCTGAGACAGGGGATAAAACCATGGGAAACGAATGGGGGGAAAATAATTTGTGTCGTACGGAAAAGGAAAAGGAAATTGGTTATTACTGCATTGTGGCATGTTAGGGGGGAGGGGGTGGAGATCTTTCAACACTGTTCTGTTGAGATGTCTTTCCGCGTGTTCCAGGTAGGTCATTCTCATGTAAGAAGGTCATGTCTTTCCGCGTGTTCCCGGTAGGTCATTCTCATGTCACATCTGTGTACTTTTAAACAGTATCCCCGCCTTTCCAGAAACGGGCATGCTACTAGAGCTTTTTTCGTTTTGTCTGTGTTGGCAGGATCAATTTTATTTTTGTTCGGGTCGCGATCATGGTAGTTTTGGGTTGGATTTTGTTTGGGAGATGGACTTTCGATGGTGATTAAACTTGCGTTATTTTCCCTCGACCTAGCTGATGTTTTAGATTTAGCCGATGGGATTTCAGTGATACTTGGATTTGCATAATTTATTTCTAGATTATCCAGTTGTACGCTGTTACAGGATGACCTTTCGATTGGGATGTTGGTTGTATTTATCGTAGGACCATGATCGTGTCTGGCGATTGGGCTTGCATTATTTCTATTCATATTAGGAGGCGTTTTGACTGCTGATGGACAATTAATTGGCTTGGATTGTTTGTGTTTAAATTATGCAGTTTCACACAGCTAGTGGGTGTCGTTACGCTTGGAGTATTAATTGAATTAGTTGCCAGCCCACGATCATTGTTCTCCTGGTTATTACCTGTTAATCTAAATACTAGATTTTCAAGGGACACAAATTTCGATTTTAAAAATGTTTTCGTTTTGTCTGTGTTGGCAGGATCAATGTTATTTTTGTTCGGGTGGTGATTATAGTAGTTTTGGGTTGAATTTTGTTTGGGAGATGGAATTTCGATGGTGATTAAACTTGCATTATTTTTCCTCGACCTAGCTGATGTTTTAGATTTAGCCGATAGGATTTCAGTGATACTTGGATTTGCATAATTTATTTCTAGATTATCCAGTTGTACGCTGTTACAGGATGACCTTTCGATTGGGATGTTGGTTGTATTTATCGTAGGACCATGATCGTGTCTGGCGATTGGGCTTGCATTATTTCTATTCATATTAGGAGGCGTTTTGACTGCTGATGGACAATTAATTGGCTTGGATTGTTTGTGTTTAAATTATGCAGTTTCACACAGCTAGTGGGTGTCGTTACGCTTGGAGTATTAATTGAATTAGTTGCCAGCCCACGATCATTGTTCTCCTGGTTATTACCTGTTAATCTAAATACTAGATTTTCAAGGGACACAAATTTCGATTTTAAAAATGTTTTCGTTTTGTCTGTGTTGGCAGGATCAATGTTATTTTTGTTCGGGTGGTGATTATAGTAGTTTTGGGTTGAATTTTGTTTGGGAGATGGAATTTCGATGGTGATTAAACTTGCATTATTTTTCCTCGACCTAGCTGATGTTTTAGATTTAGCCGATAGGATTTCAGTGATACTTGGATTTGCATAATTTATTTCTAGATTATCCAGTTGTACGCTGTTACAGGATGACCTTTCGATTGGGATGTTGGTTGTATTTATCATAGGACCATGATCGTGTCTGGCGATTGGGCTTGCATTATTTCTATTCATATTAGGAGGCGTTTTGACTGCTGATAGACAATTAATTGGACTTGGATTTTTTGTGTTTAAATGATGTAGTTTCACACATGCAGCTAGTGGGTGTCGTTACGCTTGGAGTATTAATTGAATTAGTTGCCGGCCCACGATCATTGTTCTCCTGGTTATTACCTGTTAATCTAAATACTAGATTTTCAAGGGACACATATTTCGTTTCGGTTTATAACTCACTTATATCTCATTTGTGGAGGTTTTCTAACATATTTTGTAATTTTCAAAAATTTTTGATGAAAATTTCTCGCGTTTTGTCGAAAAGTTTGATGTAATTATTTATTCAAGGTATATTAGCTAGTTATAAACCTCGGACGATCAAAGAAAACCGACACAAATGAGATATAATTAAGTTAATATGCATGTTAATGTTTTATGTTTAACAATTATACCATGAGCTCGAGTCGCAGGCTATATGAGCTGATAGCCGACGAGGTGCGTACCATTAACTGAAGTAATAATTAATTATCCTCTGTTACAATGTCTTGACAATTTGTTCGGCCAAAAACCGCTTGGCCTTGAAAATTTGAAATACTGTTGTTTTACAACTCGAAGCCGAAGTGAAAGAAATTGTTTTAGAACCGGTATATCTCACAGAAAAGCTCAGATATGTTATGCAGATGTTTGGTAGTATATGGTAAGTTCTTGTTGACTGCAAATTCATTTGCCTTTCGTTGCAAACTTTTCTGAACAATTTATATCCTCAATGAAATGTTTTTTTCGCTGTTGTTTCGGTATTAATTCTTTAAAAAAATTGTATTTAAGCTAATTTTTATGTATTTAATGTATTTTGCTAACCTGTCAAATTTTTTTGAGAGTTTTCCTTGTAGCTACTGTTATCTTTCTCAAAGCGAATATTTTCCTTTTTCCTGCTTCGCAAAACTCATGTCGTTTTTGGACCGCCATCTTGTTTTTCGCTGCTCGCCGTATACGAGCTGATATACGGCGAGTAATTCAACCAATCAGATTGCAGAACAGCTCATATACGGTGAATGACTATATTATAATATATTATATACTTTTATTCTTGTTCAATATAATAATTCGAACTGACTAAATATAAGATTGAAATAATGTAATGGGTATTAATTAAAAAGCCTATTATGTTTCTAGAAGGCCCCCAGCCTATCCAAAATAGAAAAACAAAATGTAAATAACTTCTAAATACTTTTTACGGGCGTAATAATAAAAAACAAAAACAGGCAAAAGGAATTATTGTCTCATTCGGTGCAGCTTGTCAGTTAGAACAGGAAGTGAATACGACAAATAATGCCTTTATGTACAAATTTGAATTCAATTTGAATATTTTTTAGGGGGACGCATGAATGAAACAATTAATGTGCTTTGCATAGTTTACTTCATGAATTTAATTTTGAAAAAGGTTTACGATTTTTATCACGCCTGCGTTTCAGAATAGCAAGTGCGATCCTTTTCAATAAGTGCATGTTATGTGCAGCGCCAATCAGTTTATTAAAAACTTTTGTTGCAAATATATCAATGTTTTACTATATCGTTACGAGGTTGGTTTTGGGAACTGGCCTTCGGCGAAGGCACGCCTCGTAATTCAGAACGGCATCTTTGAATATCGAAGACAACAAAGATTAATGCTATCTAACTTTAGAAAAACATGGAAATTCGGCCAAATGCTGGAAAAAATATGTTAAATTAAGGTAGTATTTCATCTTCCATAAAAATTGGAGCAAATATTCAATTCCTCCGCAGAAAGTATAAGCCGTGTATGTCGAAGTCGCGATATTGGAACATTATATAATATTAATTAAATGATAAAATTAGATGATGTATACTTAATTTGAAAATTTATTAAAAGCCGTCATTAAACAGTTATATTAAACGTTCACTGGCATTTTAATTTCAAATGTTAAAACACGGCAGGTGCTTTTGATTGTTTGAAGGCGTTAACTGTTTTGTGCATATATATAGTTAAACTCCTCAACAATTGACGATAATATGAGTGTTCCTGGTATATTTGTTGGTTATAACACTATTTACTGGTCTTTATATCTTGTCTGTATGATTGGAGCGATATCACAAGTGATACTCCTGCTGTGCTTGATTAGAGATCCCCTGAAATGCTTCAGAAACTCAGCGACTTATCTTGTTGCGAATTTGGCTGTTTCCGATCTGGCTGTTGTGTTGGAAATGATTTTAGGGATGTTTGGCTCGTCACAATTTTGTCGATTTCTGCAGATCGCTACATGATGGTTGCACATCCATTTAAACACCGTTTAGTTATGAACGGTAAGAAGGCCGCATTTTGGATTATGTTTCTCTGGATGGCGAGCATTTCATGTCCACTGTATCTTCGTTTAACCGATAATCTGAAAAAGTTCAGTGATTTCAAGTACGCTCTTTTAGCCGTGGCTATTGTCCTTACAGTTATTATGTACATTTTAACGTGTTTATCTCTGAAGAAACAAGCAAAAAGTGTGGGAAACAAAGATGATAGACAGGCCCACAAATTCCGTGTCGCAAGCGAGGATCGATTCCTAAGGACTGTCGTTATAATCGCCGCAATTGCCGTAGTGAGCCTCACTCCAGCTACAATATATGGGCAAATTGGCAACCATGGTTTTGATAGGAATGAGAAGAGCAATGTTGTTAATTGTGTCTTAATGACATTGCTGTGTCTCAATTTTTCTATCAATCCTATTATTTATTTTCTTCGATTGAAAAACTATCGAAAGACATTCTTTCTCGTGTTTTGTCGCCGTCACAACAGTTGAGATACAACGACTGCACGAAAACGATATATGATGGCTATACCAGCAAAAAATTCATCGTATTTCAGAAAAAGAATAAATAATTAAATTTTATTGAAGCACATTTTGCATGGTGCCCAAATTCTGTTGTTCATTTCCCAGTTTTGTAACACTGTTTCACACGCGGTAACGTTGGAAAAGGAAGCATTTTCACGAATTATTAATTGATGGTCTTGGCTAATGGGGTGGTAAACTTACCTTGATTCCAAGAAAGAATAGTGACTCACTGATTTCGTTGACAATATCGTCCAACTTGAATATACATTCACTATTCAATTCTTTACACAAATGGAAAAGAGAACATTACAACTGTAAAACTAGAACATTAAAACAAGAAAAAATAACCCACTTTTATTCGTTGTAGGAAACGACCGGGTAATTTTGGGAGGAGGATATTCGAACGACAAACAGTCGGAATCACATACTTTTTACAGAACATGTGGACACTTGCCAGTGTATATTTTTGTATGAAACATGTGAAATTTTGAGAAGTATTTATGATCGACTAATGTAGAAAAGGGTTAAATTTTAGTTCCGTACGAACTGTAAAATGGCTTGACGGACCGTACAAACCGTACAGTTGGTGAACATGATTTACGGATCGTGAACCTACTTTGTCGATAGCGATGTTGTGTTTAAGTCAGGGCATAAAAGTTTGTCGATCAGTACGGATCGTACGGTCCGTACGAACTGTGAAATGGCTTTACGGACCGTACGAACCGTACGGTTCGTGAAGATGAGTTTACGGATCGTGAACCTACTTTGTCGATGACGATATTGTGTTTAAGTCAGGGCATAAAAAATTGTCGATCCGTACGGATCGTACGGTCCGTACGAACTGTGAAATGGCTTTCCGGTCCGTACGAACCGTACGGTTCGTGAAGATGAGTTTACGGATCGTGAACCTACTTTGTCGATGACGATATTGTGTTTAAGTCAGGGCATAAAAATTTGTCGATCCGTACGGATCGTACGGTCCGTACGAACTGTGAAATGGCTTTACGGACCGTACGAACCGTACGGTTCGTGAACATGATTTACGGATCGTGAACCTACTTTAATTTGTCGATAGCGATGTTGTGTTTAAGTCAGGGCATAAAAGTTTGTCGATCCGTACGGATCGTACGGTCCGTACGAACTGTGAAATGGCTTTCCGGTCCGTACGAACCGTACGGTTCGTGAAAATGATTTACGGATCGTGAACCTAGTTTGTCAATCCGTAAAAAGCGTCAATGGGTGATGTTGTGTTCAAGTCAGGGCAGAAAAGTTTGTCGATCCGTACGGATCGTACGGTCCGACGAACTGTGAAATGGCTTTACGGATCGTACTTTTGGGGCGCAATGTTTAACTCGGTCAAGGCAATAATTAAATACATGATGGCGTCGTATACGGTTTGCCGTGTCGAAAATGTATTCTTCTTGTCAGATTGCAGATGATTAGAAGTGGTTTTCCCGTTGTGGAATAACTGACGTGGGGCTGTGTGCTAAAACTGCGGACAGAACAATAGTGCATGAGTTTGTGAATGAGACTATGTTATAAGGCGAAAAAAAGCGTATACCAAAGTATTAAATGACAATATTATGTCAATGACAATGACATTGTAATGCTGGATGATTCCGTTTGGCACCTGCCGTCTGCCAAAAAGATACTTGATAGGTATAGCATTCAAATGTGCGTTATATAACATCCAGTTTACACTTGGTTTTATGCACATTTATCTAATAATTGCGTGTAATTATATGAACAGACAAATTTTAAAACGTATGGATGAAAAATTTCCACGCGCGAAAAGTTTTTGCGGGCATAATTTTCCAGGCCGCGGCTAAGGGTGGTTATGAATCAGGAATTGAGCCCTGCCTTATTACATGCTAAATTTCAGTAGTTAGGTAAAGGCAAAGTTAATTTGACAGCGTTGTGCCGAGAAAGCTATTGTATTATCGGATCGGGAATATTTGTGTATAAATATTGGCTGATATACAGTGTGTCTAAAAACGCAAGCCAACTTTAGCATGAATTTGTGCGTTAATTAATTACTCGCCGCCGTTTTGAAAAACAGCGGGATTTGCATACTGAGTTTGGAACTTCAGGAAGTGAGCAACGCTAATCGCATTATTAATTGCCGCTATAAAATGTCATCAATCCAGGTTCAGTTGCTTAAACGCAGTGTGAAACCAAGCAAGTAATAAGTTAATTTTCTGTTATGCATAGCGTGAATAATTTCTGTTAGAGAATAGCGTGAATAATATTCAACCTAGATTTTGTTTGTGTTCAAAGTATGGCATGATAATTCCATATCGAAACGTCGAAACTTATTTGCCGTCGTTATAGATCCGGGCAGTATAAAAAGTGCGGCGGCTTCAATATTAATGGCTTATACACGTATACCGCCTTTCCCTAGGTCATAGTGCGCACATGAATCTGGCACAAACGTTTTCACCATAATCACCAAGATATATCTACATATTATTCCAAAAACAATAGCTGCATTGACACCATTGTCTTAACTATTTTACGGAATTTACGCCCGCGCCTGCGTTGTGGGGTAAAGAATATTATAAGACTCCTTTTAAGCTTCCACTGGTTAAGAAAAGATGGGACATCTTCATAACCTGACAGCAAAAGATGGGACAACTTTCTGACAAAAGAGTTTATATAGTTAAAAAATGCCCCGGTTATAGTGGGTTTCAGTAAGTGTTATACATGGGGAAACACCACTTTACATGCATGTATTGAAGAGTTAATGTGCCTACATAGGTAGGCTGTCAAATTGGTAAATTGCGTGCATAGCGCGCTGAAGTTGGATTATCTTTTTTGATGCACCATGCATGTACTGGACAATTGAGCAAATAATTATGAGTCCGATAAAAATTGTTTGTCGAAATCTCATATATTCTCACCGCTGCGCCTAATTAAAGCAGTGTATAAGAGAAGGTATATTATATTGATATATATAGGGTGTATCAAAAATCCTGCTAACTAACCCATTGAAATACAATGTTTTTAGAATTTGCAGGATTCAGAACTATTTGATCCCAAGCGTATACGTATAGTAATTTCTATCACCGCGGTTAATTAAGTTAGATTGGCAGTTCAAATCTCATGCAGGAGCAAAATAAATAGCACATATACAGGGTGAGTAAAAAAACCTGATACCTTTGCGGCTAATTTGTATAACAAAGGTGTCAGTAACGAATTTGACGGATCGTGAAGCTGCTTCACGATCCGTATCATGTCGACAGTATTGGACATGTATGGGTCAGGGGGGTCATTTCGGAAATATTCACCATACGTTGCTGGTCCGTGATCTATCAGTACTAAAGTTTATTCGTTTGTTAAAAGTGATTGGTGGATCACTTTGAGTTTGATGAAGCCTTTTATGAGAACCGATAACCATGTATTCTGTTTTGCTAGCATTTAGGCTTAATTTGTTTGCCTTCATCCAATCAGAAACGTTTATCAAATCTTCTTTCAAAATGTTAGCAATCGAATCAATATTATTGCTAGATGTATGAATTTGTGTATCATCAGCGAACATATTGCATCTTGTATGTTTTAAGCAATTGGGAAGATCGTTAACGTATATAAGAAACAATAGTGGTCCAAGTATGGACCCTTGAGGTATACCGCAGACCATTTCCAGTGGGTGAGAAAGGCAGGGTTCGTAGTCTCCAAGACCAAAAAATTTCAAAGACTTTCAAAAATGTTTTCTGCCTATTGTCAAAGACTTTTCAAAGACCTTTGAGAGCAATCAGGTATCGAAAAATTGCGATGTATAAGCACCATTTTTACCAGGTAATTAGTCCCGTCAAATCACATCCTAAAATACACTTTTTCGTCGATATTTGCGAAAATCTGGCTTCAATCGATCTATTTTATTAGCTAGAAAATCGTATAATCAAATAATCACTAAAGAATTTAAAGACTTTTAAAGACTTTCTTCTCTTTTTCACACACTTCAATCACTAAAGAATTTAAAGATTTTTAAAGACTTTCTTCGCATTTTCACGCACTTCAAAGACTTTCAAAGACCTTAAAGACCTGCATTCAAATTTAAAGACTTTCAAGGATACTGCTTTCTGTTTGATAAGTAAGATCTCAACTTATTAAGAGCAATTCCTTTTATCCCATAAAGATGTAATTTATGTAGTAGTATTTTATGATCTACGATATCGAATGCTTTCTGAAGGTCAAGAAATACCACCCCATTTAAGTGGCCGATATGAATATTATGAAACCATTTGTTCGCAATTTCCAGCATTGCAGTAACTTTGGAATGATTAGGTCTAAAACCATGTTGAGAATTTGTAAGCATGTGATTTTTTATAAAATATTCATAGAGTTGATTATAGACCAACTTTTCCATTGTTTTTGCAATAATAGAAATGACAGATATCGGTCTGTAGTTGTTCATGTCCTCCCTTGGTCCAGTCTTATAAACAGGGGTAACTTTTGAGATTTTCCATTCGCATGGAAAGGTTCCAGATACAATTGATTTGTTAAATATGCAAATTTGGTCATTGCATGTGTTATTAAAGGAGCTGATAACTTCACTAGTTTAATAGATAGACTATCCATACCAGTTGCTTTATTGGTTGACATGTTTAGTAAGAGCGTAAGTACCTCTTCTTCAGTTATTTCTCGAAAAGTGAAATATTTTGTCCACACTGTTAATGTAATACTCAGGTGGATAATTAGTTTGAGGAATTAGTTGAGCCAGGTTACTACCAATATTAATAAAATGTTCGTTAAATGCATTAGCCATATCTTCGAATTTAATTAATATCTTGCTCGTTGGTGTCTTTAATAAGCACTATTTTATTAGATTTAGGATTTCTGTTCCGGCATTGATTTGTGCTTTTCCAAGTTTTCTTCAAATTTCCTTTGTTATTTTGAATATCATTAGAAAAATGACTTTATATTGTATTCTTGATGAGTTTGTTATAATTGTTCCTGGTATATGTTTGTAATTTTCTCAATCGTTCAAATTACCAGTTTTGCAGGCTTTCTGCTTTGAGTAATTCTTCTGCCTTTTTTCATGTAAAAGTTGTTCAGAATCCAATGATTAGATTTATTTTGTATTTTACGTCTTTTTATGGGAGCATGCTTGTCACAAATATTCGTAAAATTTTCTTTCCAAACAAGCCACAATTCATTTGCACTTGCGTATTGGTGAAGGTCCAATGTGCCAATTGATCTTATGTCGTCTAAGAATGCACGTTCGTTCAAATTTTTAAAATCTCGAAATTCCATTACAGTCGTACCCCTATTAAGCGGACACCTTCGGGACCTCACCTAAGTGTCCGCCTAAAAGGGGTGTCCGCTTAAAAGGGGTATGTAGAAAAACACAGCAGGAGGCAAAGGTGTGTAATTAGGTGTGTAATTTGAGTATCATCATGGCTGGCGGCTCACAGTCCTCCGTCCCCATTCGTCACTTCCTCAGTAATCTTGGCTCTGATGTCTTTGCGCCAAGTTGGTGTGTCACTGTCAATGTGGCATGTAAATTGATCTCAATTGTTATTCACTGTCGAATATTGAATACATTTTATCAGACAATCTGTCATCTGTCCACTTAAGAGAGGTTGATTTGCCCATTGGGACCTCCAGAAAGGTGTCCGCGTCCGTTAAAGAGGGGTGTCCGCTTAATAGGGGTTATGATAATAGTTTTTTATTAAATAAACCAAATGGGACCTGAGTTATGTGTCCGCTTAAAAGAGGTGTCCGCTTAAGAGAGGTGTCCGCTTATAGGGGTTCGATTGTATTCTTGTATTTGCTTTCAAAGATGGAAATTTTCGTACTCCGTAAATTAAATAATGGTCACTGATGGCTATTTTGGAAACTCTTGTAAGTATAATGTTTTCTGGCTTATTTGTGAAAAGATGATCAATAAGGGATTTGGTATTTCTTGTAACTCTAGTTGGATCTTGGACTAACTGTTTGTATTGATACATATTTGTAACAAAATTAAGTTCATTTGTATTACAGTCGTTTGTGAATTCGGGAATTAGGTCACAATTTAAATCATTCAAAATAATACCCTTCCTTGTCCTCTAGATCAATATACTGTATTGTAAGAGCTTCTCAAATTCTTGAAATTTCTCAATTAGTGTGTTTGGCGGTCTGTATGCCTACCAGGTAGTAACAAGAAAAGGTTTGGTTTTATATTTAGATATTTCAATAGTTAATACTTCAATATCAGTATTGTTTAGATCCGATCTTAAACGATAGTTTGTTTAAAGTGCTTATGTCACAAAAAACTTTTTTTGATATTTGGTAGAGGACAAAAAGTTAGTTTATTTTTCATTCGCGAGATATAAGGCTCTAAACCTTGAAAAATTGGCTTTTAGCGAAAAATTGTCGCGCCCGAGAAAAAAACGGAAAAGGGTCTGGGGCGAGAGCCGTGTGACGTAGCTTAAGGGACGGAAGTTCGAATTCACATGTGAAGGAGTACTAAAAACCTATTGGGAAGACATATGTTTTCCAGCACTCATGGTTCTCAATGTGACTCAGAATACAATTATATTCCTGGGTATATTATACAGGATGAACCAAATGATACTAGTCACGAAATTGGAACTCTAGAAGCAGTTTGTTTAGGCGATTATGATGCATATTGCCTTTATGCCGATGAGCCGCTAGCGAGCCGCCGAGCCAAGAATGCTACGCGCGATATCTAAAACTATGCGGAACACAAGGAACAAAACGTTAGAACGAAGATTAGACGGCCTTGAAGATATTAAATCATAGTGAGCGTAAACATAGATTTATTTAACATTTTAACGTAAAGTAAGTATCTCTGGTGATATATTTTTGATACGGCATCAGTCACACCAAACCACACTTCCCTCACCTGTATCATATTTCACAAGTGTAAATGCGGCGATTGTGCGATAATACATATACATACTGTATACAATATACCACACACGCTGGAATCTTGTAGGGAAGTTCTGAAGGCAAACATTCCAACCGTCCCGGTTTTCCCGGGACTGTCCCGGTTTGGACTATGTTGTCCCGGTGTCCCGGTTTTCTTCTTATTGTCCCGGTTTCTGTAGTATTTTAATAGTTGTATTCTTCAAATAAGGCTCATGTGACAAATATTAATGAAATTCGTTTGGTTCAATACATATTAATGAAATGGGAGCTTCTAGTTGCCCCAAACAATTGCCGAGTTTGTCGCCGATCGTTGTAATTCTCGTGACATACCAGAAACTGAGAGTGACATATGTTGTTTTGACAATTTAGCGTTCGCTTTCAATTCCTATTCATTTTGCCAGGGCTACATGAAGTAAAGCAGCATAACAGAAGCGGGCGCAATAATCGCGGGCTCTTGAATACGAGAGGATCAGTGACTGATCATAGCCAATAGTAAAACGAAACAATTTCGCCAGTACAGTACTTCAATGAAATTAAAGCTTGTTGAGAAGATGTTATATTACTTATGGGTTTCAACTCAGCCAATTTCAACACTAACCCAAATAGACACCACTCACCACATCATTGAGAAAAGCGCGGCAATTCAGTCCTGCCAAGGTTCCCGCATTTCGCGTGAAAGTTACGCATTCTGCTTTTGTTCCCGCTGTCCCGCACGCATGACTAAAATGATCTTAAAGTTACGCATTTTTACCATTATATGACGCTATCCCACTTTTCGTGCAATAACTCATTGACAACGCTGTGTGCAAACGTAGAATTACTGAGAGTTAACAATCGACCAACCAAATAAAGACGTTCAGATGCATCGTGGCCTGGGGGTACATGGCTAAATACGCTTTCTGACGATCTGGAGACTCCAAATTTCCAAAATTCTCTCAATTTTCTTAGTCACATTAAACTGTAAGTAACACTGATCAACACTGTCATATTGATCAGTTGTTATTTTACTTATCTTCATTGTTAGGCAGTAGTAAAACATTGAAATCTTGGGTAGGAAAGACTCTAAAAATGCTATTTCCGACGGTCTAGAGAATTCAAATTTTCAAAATTTTTTGCTCGGCGCCAACCATGATAGCGCCTCGCGGGCGTCGCAAAATCAGGTGAATTGAAACAATTCAGGCGGTAAATCTAACCTCATAATCGCCTAAAATTTTGCTATCAACTGCTTCTAGAGTCCAATTTCGTGACTAGTATCATTTGATTCATCCTCTATAATATATCCAGGAATATAATTGTATTCCGAGTCACATTGAAAACTATGAGTGCTTTCCGAATCCGAGCAACTGCCTGACATGCTGAAAAATATATCAAATGTATAATGTGCGTCGAAATTAAGTCCCTTAAGCTACGTCACACCACGCTCGTCCCAGACTCTTGTTGATACGCGACAATTTTACGAAAATCGCTGTTTAGAGCCTCGTATCTCGCGAATGAAAAGAGAAAACCGAAAAATGTTAAAGAACCTATTAACTAACTTTTTGTCCTCTACCAAATATCAAAAAATATTTTTTGTGAGCCTATTTCTATCTCTACCAATCCAACTGTATCCGTAAATAGAATAATTAAA